TTTTCTTCAAATTTCATTAATGAAATTCAGGTAACTAAATTCCCTTGTGCTTTTCCTTCTGTAGTTCTATCTGAACCCTTTATATTTAGTAAAGAAAGATCTAAATTCAGAACAGTTTTAGCTACCCAGACTGTTGAAACTACCAAAGTTTCATTCAGAAGTAAGAAACCTAAAGAAATTAATGTTTTGGTTGTGGGTTCAACTGGTTATATTGGGAATTTTGTAGTTAAAGAGTTAATTTCAAGGGGGTTTAATGTTATTGCCGTTGCAAGAGAAAAAAGTGGGATAAGAGGCAAGAACAGTAAAGAAGAGACTCTGGGATTGTTGAATGGTGCAAATGTTTGCTTTTCGGATGTTACAACGTTGGAATCTTTGGAGAAAAGTGTCGGAAATCTCGGGGTTCCAATCGATGTCGTTGTGTCTTGTCTTGCTAGTAGGAGTGGTGGGGTGAAAGACTCATGGAAGATAGATTATGAGGCCACGAGAAACAGTCTTATTGCTGGTAGGACATTTGGGGCTGCACATTTTGTTTTGTTATCTGCCATTTGTGTGCAGAAGCCCCTTCTTGAATTTCAGCTTGCGAAGTTGAAATTCGAGGCCGAGTTGATAGAAGAGGCTAAACGGGATAAGGGATTTACGTATAGTATTGTTAGGCCGACTGCATTTTTCAAGAGCTTAGCAGGTCAGGTTGAACTGGTGAAAGACGGAAAACCATATGTGATGTTTGGGGACGGAAAACTATGTGCTTGCAAGCCAATAAGTGAGCCAGACTTGGCTTCGTTTATTGCAGATTGTGTGTTGAGTGAAGATAAGATTAACCAGATTTTGCCAATTGGAGGACCCGGTGCAGCATTGACGCCATTGGAGCAAGGGGAAATGTTGTTTAAACTTTTAGGAAAAGAACCTTATTTCATCAAAGTACCAATCCAAATAATGGACTTTGCTATTGGAGTTCTTGATTTCCTTGTGAAGATATTTCCTTCACTGGAAGATGCAGCCGAGTTTGGGAAGATTGGAAGGTATTATGCAGCCGAGAGTATGCTGGTTTGGGATCAAGATGCTGGAGAATATGATGCTGAGAGAACTCCGAGTTATGGGAAGGACACACTTGAAGAATTCTTTGGGAGAGTACTCAAGGAAGGAATGGCTGGTCAGGAGTTAGGGGAGCAAACAATTTTCTAAATTTACCGTTTGTTGAAAGTTAGTGTAGAATTCCTAACTCAAATCAAGCCGTTTTTTGATACTTGCGAATATGTAAAGGTACACGGTTCCTCATTTTGTACTTGTCCTGTGATGGATTGAAAAAGCATGATTTGTATGGAAATTTAAAAATCTAAAGACATGTTTATGTTCTGAAATGCAGATCAACTCAATAATATTTTCTGCCTTTCTTTCTTCTTGCAGTTTAAACTTTTTCATAGAGGTAGAAACTGTTTGTTGGTGTAATCTTACCATTTATGTCAGTTTAACAATCATTTTAGTATAGTATTAAAGGATTATACATAATTTCTGTTCCTTGAGCGGTATAGTATTGAATTGAATCTATGTTTGGATTATTCCTTTAGATATACTTTGACTAGAATAAGCTTTAGATGCAGGTGACAAGAAAAAATCCTGAGCCAACCCCAAGTTTATTAGGAATCAGGCTAAACTTGTTATGCTGTCTAACTTTTACCATTGTAATCAGAGGCAAACATTACCATCTAGGACTTGCATTTGTGTTTTGCAAGCACGATGATATATTTTACAGTTCTCTAGTTCCACCTTTTTGGTCCTTTTTGGTAGCTTCCATGGTGTGCTTGCATAGGGTGTTGTGATTTACACCAAAAACTATTCCTAGCGAACAGTCATCTTGTTGCCTTAATGTGATTATTCTATCTTTAAGTTAATTTTATGTAAAGCTAGTGTGTGTGAAATGTTATTTCATCGTAATAGCTTCTAGTTAAGTTCTTGAAAGAACAGTTTCCTTCAAATCTCTAACAGTTTCTTGTTGTGTTTTGCTGTAAATTTAAGCGTAGATAGACTTCTATTTCCATGCAGAAACTAGAAACTATAGAATTCTATGAGATTGTTGCACAGGCAGATGATTTTACTAACATAAATGGATAAATGAGGTTTCCTACTGATTGTACTTGTAGAGTTGTGCTACACGTACTACGGCCTTGTACAAATGGAAAAACCTTGTATTTGAACTAGAATTAAGCTCTTTTGTCAGAAAGAATTTGCCCCTTGGTTGACATACACTCACATGGGAATGGGACCACGTGGGACTCATGTGAATAAAAAATTCCAAAAAATTGCCCCCCATTGTAAATGTGCTGGCAGGGAGGGGGCAGCATAGCAGCACTCTTTGATCTGCAGCCAGTTTTTTCTCCCCCAATGCAAGGGGGACAGGTACATGGCCTTACATATGGAATTTCCCTAGTTTAGGACGATGTTACATGTACATCAAGGACTACATGAAGCCTTATATAATGTCGCATGGTATTCTATCACTTTTCAGTTTAGAATACAGTCAGCTTTTTCATCCAATATTTTCCCTCTCAGTTACTTCTTCTGGCTGTTTTTTCTGTACAAACAGCAAAATCCTAAAGTTTAACTAAGATTAACACTGAACAAAGGAACATTATTTTGCAGACACGGAAACGCTATTAGGCATAATCTTAAGGGCCAAAAACAAATTTGAAGGACCAAAAACACATTTTAGCAACCTCGATCAATTTTCAAGGCAAGAGAGTCAGATTTGGACACATGATCTCACTTTTTTTTTTATCAAATAGAACGAGCTCATGAACAAAAACCCTCCGTTTTAGGGGTCAAAAGCGCATCTTGTTCTTAATTTTTTCAGCAGATCTGGGTTTTTCTAAATGAGGTTACAACTTTTGGCTTATTTTCAAGTCGTGGTTATAATTTCCATAAGGTTTTGGATTATCGTGTAAATATCAAGAATAAACACAGTTGAGACTTGAGAGTCTCTCTCCCATTTACATTATAAATTTATTTGAATGAACAAGTATTGGTTGCCTATATTCCAGTATTCGTGACAAAGTATGTCGTTTTCATGTATACTTCACAACCACAGGAGTGTGCTCAATTATGTCCTTATATAAGTTTTTGCCAACTACACAAATACACATCTATATATGCACAGGAGACTTAGGGGTTGTTTTTTTTTTTTGTGTTTCAATTTTGTATTTTGAGATTTGAATTCATTTTGAATTTTCTGTTTTGAGTGTTCATTTTGAGATTATTGAAAATTTGTTTTTTTTTTTAATTTTTAAAANTCAAAAGCGCATCTTGTTCTTAATTTTTTCAGCAGATCTGGGTTTTTCTAAATGAGTTTACAACTTTTGGCTTATTTTCAAGTCGTGGTTATAATTTCCATAAGGTTTTGGATTCTCGTGTAAATATCAAGAATAAACACAGTTGAGACTTGAGTCTCTCTCCCATTTACATTATAAATTTATTTGAATGAACAAGTATTGGTTGCCTATTTTCTAGTATTCGTGATAAAGTATGTCGTTTTCATGTATACTTCACAACCACAGGAGTATGCTCAATTATGTCCTTATATAAGTTTTTGCCAACTACACAAATACACATCTATATATGCACATGAGACTTAGGGGTTGTTCTTTTTGTGTTTCAGTTTTGTGTTTTGAGATTTGAATTCATTTTGAATTTTGTGTTTTGAGTGTTCATTTTGAGATTATTGAAAATTTGTTATTTTTGGGATTTTGAAAAATTATTTTGAAAACACCCAAAACACTTTTCGAAAATTTTGACTTTGTTATAACTGAAAAACACTCAAAACAACAAATTTGTCGTTTTGGGATTTTCTTTTTTTAAATTGTTTTCAAAAACGTGTTTTTACTGTTTTGAAAAATCTAAAACAGAACACGGCTTGAAAATAGTAAAAAGAACAGACCCTTAATAATCATAGCCCACTTGATACGAGCATTATGTTTTATACACAATTCTGAGTTATAATATAAAAACTTTTAACTTGATATTCTTCTCTAATCATGTTAAATATTGTTGGAAATGGGCGGATCGACCATGTGTGTTGACTCGGTCCAAGTACAATAAAATGGTTGTTACCTTTCAAACCTATATATGTAAGTAACACCACCCGCAGCTGCTGCCGCAATGCCTAGCAATACCTACAAAATAAACATATAAAATACACGCACTTGTCACGATTTGTATTAGTTCTAGGTATCAAACATGTCCTAACTTTTAATACTAAATCTTGACCCATTTTTTTAATTTTCTAGTTGAAGTTACTGTTGTAATGTTGTTCAAACATATAATGATGAGTGATTTGGAGTGATCAAACATGCATGTGAGAATATCAAATGTGAAAACAACCGAAGAAAATGGAAAAGTCAGGAAATTAGCTTGGACAGTTGCCCTGACAACTGCCTAGCCTCATAATTTAGCACCAGAGGCCAAATGAGTACACTCGACGATTGCCAAAATTTGTATTAGTATAAGTGGTGACGAATAATTAACCATTATCATGTTAATCACCTCGAACTATTTCTTCGAAAACCCTAAAGAGTTGGACAATTCAACATGAACCACACATAAACTTACATGAAGCATGATGAATGGTTGAACTGCAAGCATAGGAGCCTGAAATGGTATAGGAACTCTTTCTATTTGCTTACTAGTAACTATAACGATAAATACCACTCATGCTGAAGCAAACAGTAAAAACCTCAACACTGCATCAATGGCAAAATCAGCCCTAAGATTTTGGGGGCCTTAGATCAACTCCAAATACGAGATCCCTATAAATATGTAAAAATATATAAAATAATAAAAAAATAATATATTTTTTTAAAAATAAAATCGTCAAAGTTATAAAAATAATAATCTAAATATTTCAAATGTCTATATTAAATTTACTCTTATAAATTTTTTCGTTGAAAATCAACAATTATACTACTCTAATTAACTTGTTTTAGAAAT